TTTGTATGTTACATGTTATGTACCGTATTTCTACAATAAAGTAAGGTGGAGAAAAGAAAATATTATTACAAAAATCCTCAGGAAGAGAAAATATGTTTATAGTATGGTACTGGTTTTATCTAAAAAAAAAAAAAATTCCATGTGTAAGGGGACCTATGCCATTCAAAAATCTGCTTTGTTCAAGGGCCAACTGTACCATGTAATATAGATAACAATAAAGATAGTGCTGTGAAGCAGGTGGGAATGACCAATTATTTCTTAAATGATATTTAGGTAATGGCCAACAAATGGGAGCTACACAATTATTTCACATGGACAAATGGTTGAAACGGAACACAGGATGTGTAAGAAAGAAAAAAAAAGGTGAATATTGACATCAATTTTGGATGAGGAAAGCTTTGCTAAAGATAATATTAAACAGAGAAAAACTGGTACTCAAAGTACAAGGTCTATAATTATGAACACAGCACAATTAGAAGCGAAAGGGCATTGCACCCCTGAGAAATTCTATGTAGTAGGCATGACAGGTCCAAGGTTAATAACATCCAAAGATGGAGAGACTTTACAAGTCAATTGCAAATTGATGAATATACAATTTAAAAAATGGACAAAGATCATGAATAGCCAATTTACGAAAGAAAAAGAAAAGAAATGATCAATACTTATTTTTAAAGATCCTAGGTTTACTAATAATGAAAGTCATTGACATTATGGACTGTGATTATATTTCACTTCTCAATTTACCAATGATTTTAAAAGAGTAATAATATCTAGAGTTGGCTTGACTGTGAGGAAATGAGTCCCGAACCTATTTTACTTATGGTATTATAAATATTTCTGGTAGTATACATATTTCTGATGGACACTTAACTATCAAAGGCTTTGGATCCAATAATTCAACTCTAGAAATTTATCCTAAAACCCTAATTAGATATTTGACAAAAGAGTGTGCAAATAATGTACCTACACCATGGTCAACTGAGACCAGACACCTTTACGATAGAAGTTAGGAAGATATTCAGAAGAGAATGTTGATGTAAGCATACTGATGCCGGTAAATGTGTTTCATATATTATTAGGTGGGAAAAAATGGACATGGATCTCATGATCGCCTTTTATAAAGCTCATATATACGTGCATGCCAAAAAAAAAGTCTGGACAGAAATGAAAACGAGCGATGATTATTTCTGATTAGTCTATTACCAAGTTATTATTTATAAAAGTATTTCTGCTTGTTTGTATTTTCTAACTTTCCTACAAAGAATATATGCTAATTATATAGTACAAGGAAATCATGAAGTTCTTTGCAAATATAGATTACTACAATTATCGTGGCTGTGATTTAAATTGAACCTGAAGTACAGTGTGTCTGTCCCATTTCCCCTGGAACCTTAGATTGCATGGAACTTCAGATTTTTCCTCTTCTGAAGATTATTATTTAACTATAAGGTAAACAAAGATTTTTTTTTTAAAGAATTAACTAGAAAAGACATGAGCTTTATATTCACTGTGTAGAGTGTATACCTGATGGAACCCTCCAAGTACCCAAGCTTGTTCGTTATTTCACTGATAGGCAGTGTGGCCTTGGGCAAGTCTTTGAAGCTCCTGATGTCTCATACTCCTTTATCCAGGAGGTGGGGATGAAAGTATCCATGCCTAATCCCACGAGGAACTAAATGGATTTGAGGAATTAAGTGAAACAATGGCCATGACAAAGTTTTATAAATTAATGAAGAGCTAGCTAGATGGGAAGGGTTTTTCTCAACATTTTTTTCTTTGCACTTCTCTCATCCATTACAGATTTCTTGTGTTTTTAGAGATGCCATAAGTCTGATATTTTCAAAGTAAATGCATCTCAAAACCAGGGCAGGTCAGCTCTTCATCTGCCCGAACAGCATCATTTGTGATATTAACAGCCCAAGATGGACTTAAATGTTGAAGAGTCATCCAGTGTTCTACTCACCGGCTCCCTGCTGAGTCATCTGTGAAGCTTGGCTACAGAACGGAGTAAGGGAAAAATGAAATAAAAGACTTGGGTGTATTCAGATGGCTTCCCTCGTATTTCTAAAGACGTGTAATGCTTATGGTGAGTTTAGGCAAACACAATCCTGATTATTTACGTGGCATAATGGAAGTAAACACTCAAGGAGAAAGAAACCTGATGCTTTTACTCAGCGTGATATAAACCATTATCTCATGTTTTCTATGGAAAACAGTCTCAGCCGAGAAATTTGGTAACTCAGTAGGCTATTAATAGGATGTGGAATGTGATTACTCCTTTTGGATTACTTCAATATGTAATTACTTCTAGGAGCTAGCAGAAAGAGACTCTATTAAATGATAATTATAGGACTGTATTTGCTTTAAGGTTTTGTAATAGCTCTAAACATGGGAGTTTTCATTAACTGTTTGCCATAGTTAATAAAGTCATTTTTCTTAAAAAGTAGCAATTCCCTGCAAAAGTGGTAGCTCCGCATAGGATTAGACTCTTACAGGGAAGAGCAGGGGAGACAGATTGTGTACTGGGCTGGCTCATCCATGATAACAGAAGCTCTTTGAAAATATCGAGGGCTTTCCTGAGGTGTCGTGACAAAGTAAAATACTTCTAACTCCCCAGAGAATAATGTTTTAGTATAATGTTTTCAGATGGTTAACAGCAGCTAAATATTATTGTACACCTAAAAACAAGGAAGACAAGGCAGGTGATGGAGGCGACGTTGGTGCAGTGAGAAAAACCTAGAAACACCTGCTGTGTCCGGAGGTGTCCAGCCATAAAACAGGAATGTTGCTGGGCATACGATCCAGGAGTTAGACCACAAATGTAAGTTGGGGATTATAAGAAAACACAGAGACGAGTCTGACCATAAATATTTGAGTCAAAAGATCATAAAAGAGGGAGTGACGGACGGTGCATGTGAGAACAGCGGAGTTTTCCAGAGTCAATCACCTTACTATTGATAAAACTAAATGTATGCTGAAATATTTTGTGAAGAAGTAACTTCTTCGTCATAAAACTGGCAAACGCCTAGGCTTATGTCAGTGTAGCAATCTATTGACCCGGGGTGGGACCCCAAAATAGTTTGAAAATTAAGAAAAATCCAAGAGTGGAGGCAGAGATTCTCGTCCTCTACCCCGAAGTGTACCGTATCTTAGAAAGCACTATGAAAACACTGTATGCTACCTTCTTCAGGTTAGCTCAGGAAACACTTACTAAGTGGCCACTACATGCCAGGGCCTCCCTGCTTTGGAGAAACGTTTCTTTATGAAAGGAAATTCCTATATTACACACGCGCACCACTAGTGCTACGTGAGCTCCCTGTTGAAAACTACTCCTCTATCTCAGGGCTGTGCAGAGTTATCTCTCAAAGGCGCTTGAGGCACTCACAGGTGCCCATCAACCAAAGCCAACAAGTAAAAGACAAAACCCTAGATGAACTATAAAATTAAAGCACTTTAAGTACTATTTCTATTTCAAAATGATAGGAATCATTTACTAAGTGAAGGGCAGGTTGTTTCCTAGGGTTGCTTGAAAACACAGGTCTCTCGTGCCACTACCTTCACACCCAGGCTCTCAAGAGCATATCCACTGCGAAGAGCAAGGCATCTGCAGAGAAAAATCTGTCGTGGCACCTAGGACATTTTATCCTACAGTCTCCTTTGATATGTGCTTGATTTAAAAAGGCCATCATTAAATGTTCAAATCAGCTTCAGAACTAATAATAAAGTATGTTGGATCATATCCCCTCAAATGCAAGTAGCGTGGGGAACTCCTGGGCTTTAATAATCAACCGCTTAGGGCCAGTGGTTACGTTAGGGCTGTAGCCTCTAGCCTCTGAGAGCCTGGATTTAAAGCCGCATAGGTCTGACTCCTATGCGGCTGATTGACTCTGAACAAGTTACCTGGTGATTCTGCGCCCCATCTTCCTCATCTTCAAACGGGAAGGATAATAACCACCCTGACCTACAGTGTGCCGAGAGAATGAAATCAGAGATTGGGGGAAGGGTCTGGGCCTGGTGTCTGGAGCGTAGCTGCTGGGATTTATAATACTGATGATAGTGATGACAGTGATGGGGAAGCGACAGTACATATTAGGTTAACTTGAGCTCCCCGAAGCCTGATCTCAGTCACTGGGAAAGCAATCAATCCATAACCCGGCGCCCAGCGAATGTGTGGCTACCGAAAGCGTATGTACTGAGGGGGACCACCTTTTATTCTTATGTCAAATGATGGCATTTGTCTCCCCGTTATCCACAGACCTGCCTTGTCACAGGCTCATAGGAACAGCCGCAGACCAAAAATAGCCTGGCCAGAAGTCAAGAAACTTATTTTTTGATCCTGGCTTGCTCCCAGCTTTGTCAAGGGACTCTATCAGCTTGGTCCTATTCAACAAGAACAACTACTTCGAACGATTTGTAAGTCTAGAACCTCTCGGATGAAATGCGAAGCAGGAGTGACATCAGATGTCGCCATATTTCTGGTGGCCAAATAATGCTTTGCTCACACCCTTCAGGCAATAATTCTGCAACCACCTTTAGGTTTCAAGCTCTGTACCCAACCACACCGCATTAAAACCGGGCTTGGAAGGGAAGGCCAGCTGAAAGACTACACTGCCTTACAAAGTTGAACTAATCTCTTTTAATGCTTTATTTGATATCAATATTCATAGAGCCATGCTTCCCCCCAAGGGTTTATCAACCTCTTAAAAAAAAGATAAATGAAGTTGTTTGCATACTGACCCCGTAAGCTTCCCCACATGGTTTCCCCACTGCTTCATGAACATCAAAGCCAACAAAAAGAGTAAAATAAAATTAGAATCACTTATTCATATGCACCAAGTGAGCCCACACGGCTCAAAATAAAGGTGGCATTATTATTTCTTGTTTGTTCTTCAACAGAGAGGCATTATTAAGGTTAGGGAAAACACTTGTGCTCTGCAATATAAAAGCCATTCATTCGCCCATTTCTACTTCTCTGAATGCATAGGAACCTTGGTACGAACCTCTGTTGTCTCTGACTGTGAAATTTGGATTGTGAATGATTTCAGGGGGTAGACTGAAGATAAATCTTGGTCCATTGGCTGTGTCATCCTTGTCATCTGCACTAATTGTGACAATTGGCTGAAAGAGAAAGGTGGCCCATAAATAAATCACGCTGACATTGGCACATCATTTATTCAAAACTTCCTGGCCGGCCAAGAAGGCTGGGTTTAACAAGAGAACATAGTTACGTTAAAGTAGGGCTCTGAAACCCTCTTGGGCAGTGGGAAGTATCTCTAGATGAAGCTCTCAAGACTAAACTCTGCTTCCAAATGCCCTGTTTGCAGCCAGGGAAGGAGAAAGCATCATTACCTGGTTAGAAAGTGGCTTGGTCTGATCACTCTCACAGATGAAGCCTTCATAAGGGGCAGCAAACTTGGGAGCGTTATCATTGACGTCAAGGACCCTGATGGCCACCGGGACTTTGGCTTCCTGATGCCTATTGTCTGAAAGAAGAGAATTCAGACAGTAAATACAAGCCCTCCGTGACATTCGAGTGTGTGATCGAGTTTGAGAACCACTGGTCTTTAGGTAAACAAACACCCCCAAATCTTGGCTCTAAGAGTTCTACTGCTCTGGGTTTGTGGAGGGATAAAGTGGGGGATCCTTCGGTGATGGCTGTGAGCTTCAAGCTGCTGAAGGCTATCAGCTCCCTTGCCAGGACTATTCCCCAGGTCAAAAAAAGAAAAAAAAGAAAAGAAAGAAAGAAAGAAAATATCTCTGTGTGTTTCTATCTCTTCTTCGATCGATGACCAAGAATAAATTTTAAAGTTTGAAAAAATATGCTTAAGACTAAAAAATATATACTATCTCAGCTGTCTGCCATTTTCCAAAATATCTATAGAGTCTGATGGAATAAAATTTGGGAAGATAGAACCAAAACCCTTAGGGGAGGGATGCCCGGGTGGCTCAGCAGTTGGGCGCCTGCCCCTGGCTCAGGGTCCTGGGATCGAGTCTCATGTTGGGCTCCCTGCGAGGAGCCTGCTTCTCCCTCTCCCTGTGTCTCTGCCCACCTCCCCCCTCTCTCTCTGTGTCTCTCATGAATAAATAAATAAATCTTAAAAAAAAAACAAAACCCTTAGGAGAATACTTACGGATTTCTGCTGCAAAAACGGATATGTTGAGCCAGGCGGTTTCCTCTCTGTCCAAAGGTTTCGTGGTTTTAATAAAACCGTCTTCTGGATTAATAGTGAAAAACCTGTCGAGGTCAGTATGACGATCGATTGAATACCTAAGCAGAATGCAAATGAGGCAATTAGACAGAGACATTTTGAGCAGCTTAATATTTGAATATTTTCTCCATGCTATGTTTAAAACAACTTTTTCAATGAATTGCTTGAACTAGGTTTCCTTTTTAATCAAATTTACTTTTTAAACTTCCTACATGAATCTTTTATAGAAACTATTTTGCCACATTGGGATTCTTTATTCAGTACAATGAATGAAAGAGCTTTTAGCATATATTTGATTGAGAAGCATAATGACATGTTGCATATTTCTTCATATTTACTACAATCACCCACCATTTGAATATTTATGAAACTGCCTTTGGGTGGGATTGCCTTGCTCCCAAACTACTCAGAAAGTCACAAATGTATCAAACCTTTATCAGATTTTTGCATTGCATATTAAATATCAAATAGTTTCAAGTTTATCTAAATTTATCATCAAGGATCATTTATGGTCCTAAAAAATCAGTTTTCTCCTTATTTAAAGAAAAATGCCAACTCTATTTTAAATGGATTTATTTAGTTTATTTATTTGGTTTTAGGGATTCCCGGGTAGCTTGGTTCTGAATTCCACGGTGAAATCCGCAAAGCAGGCTTGGTGATTATTTGTAGAACAAGCTCCCCACACTACCATGATGGGCTGTGCCTAATAGCATGGCTGGAAGGTTTCAGCTACTCCTGCCCACTAGAAAATTTGCTTTTTTTCTAATAAAAGACAAAATAATTTCCAGAATATTACTGGACTGTGTTTATGCCAAAGTGTAGGAGGGCGAAGGGACAAGAAGAACGGCCTATATTGAGGTGTAGTAAGGTAAGTTGCCCAGGACACCCGGAGTTCTAAGTACTGGAGGGCTGACTTTAAGAAGTCTGTTGAATTCCAAAGCCCCTTTCCTTTTCATTCTGTCATCCTTCCTCCAAAATGAAGAGAAAAGGTGATTGGGTTAACTCTGGGAGTCATCCTGGGCTTCATAACTGGGTGGCTTACTGCTCTTGGAGGGCTAAGCAGCACTTTCCTAAAGTTCACAGAATACATAAGTCTGAAGGCGTTCATCAAGGGTAATAAAACCCAAAATACGTTAAAGGTGACAAAGACCATGGATGGCATAGAATGTACCCTCTTCAATGTACAAATGATGGGATTTGCTAATGGCCAATCATCTAGTTTCTGGGGAAGCCAACACTAGAATCCAGATCTTCCAATTCTAGATCATGTTTCCAGAGGGGTCCCCCACATGGAGCAGCACTTCACAGGACAAAAGACAAGAGCTCATCCTTTGAAGCTCCCTGCGGGGATGGAATGATGAATCCCTGCCCCCCTCAGGAAACTGAAGATAAACCATTTACACCTCGTAAATGTCGGAGAGGCTCAGTTAACACAGCCTTCAGCAGATAGCCCTCTGTGAAAAGGAGGCAAAAATAAGAGACTGTCTCTTTCCCCTGCCACCAGGGAGTTAACTATCTAGTTGACATGACAAGACACACTCACGGGGAGAGAGATAATTAACAATTCAAAGTGTTATTCTCTAGAAACAAAGGGCATGCATGCATTTTGAGTTCGTAAAGTCCTAGATGCAAGTTTATGCTCCAGCACTTGTAAGCTCCGTGATACTGGAAAAGTCTCTTAAGTGCTTTGAATCTCAGCCTCCTTATCTTTTAAACTGGAATATTAGTAGTACCTAACTTTTGGCTTATTGGTAGGAATTACAGAATTACAGGAAATTACACATTAAGATATATAACCTAGCGGCTCGCATACTGTAAACAGTGCAACAGAGAGTTGCTCTTCTTCTTGTTGCTGCTGTCACACTGCGTGGGTGGATCATGGCAGCTCTCAAATGTCAGTCTACAGAGTATGACCTGCATCCCACCGCCAGCGAAAAATCATAGAAGGTTTTCGATTAGAGGAACAAAGAAATGGAATTGGACTATTGCGATGATTAATACAGTAGGAGGGACAAGATGGTCTAAGCAAGAGAGAGTGGAGGAAGGCCAGAGAAATGGTTAGGATCTGAATGAGGCGATGGGTACCGGAAAGGGGATAGGAGTGAGAGAGGGGACGCAAGGCTGTGTGGCGAAGAGAGCACCAGTGGGACACAGTTGATATTGGGGAGGCTGGGGGAGTCCTGGAGAGTTCCTCGGCTGGGTGTCAGAAAAGGAGACATTGAGAAACACAAAAACAAAACCAGCTTAGCAAGCAGATGAGGTTAGACTCCCCTGGCGACATGCTGCCATGCTCGGAGAGTAACAAGCCAGGCCTACCTCAGGTTTCACAGATGCAAGGTGAAGTAGGTAGGATGTACTTTTTTTACAAAAGTGTGTCACCATAAGTATGAGCTCAAAAATAAGAATAGGTACAGAGTAGAATTAGGGAGAAAGATCAGCCCTGAGGCAGAAAATAAATCTGGAGCATTAATTCAATCATGCGATGGGTAGGAATGCTGTAGATGAGGGGACGGAGAGAGAGAAAGGTGCAAGTCAGAAGGACGTGTCTCAGGGACTCCCCACTGTCAGGCCAGGGATCTGGTGAAGACCCCAGCGTGGTCCTGTCTGACGCACGAACAGATTACTGCCAAGGTAGCTAAGAAGAGAGACTGCCTCCGAAAGCCAAGAGTGAACAGAAGCGTGTTGAACGCTACAGAGTCTGAGAAGAAAGATCTGCAGAATTTCCGCAAGCTAAGAGTCTGGTGGACACTGTAATGTCCTACCCAGGTGTCCGAGGGCATGAATTCCTATACAGGTGAAGATCAACAATCAGGGAATTAGGTAGTGAGGACAGGAGGGCAGGAGGCAGACTGCGTAAGAAGCTTTCAATGCTCTGTAATTTGTTTGGGGAACAGAGACGGAGCGGGTAAGGGGGGTGGTGTTCAAGAGCCATACTGAGCATCTTTGGATAATTATAGACACAGAAATTGCCGACACACACAGAACAGCTACCAGTGAAAACATGACCCAAATAACCAATCGCAGATGCGGATCCTGGAGACATGAGGCACAGAGGAAATGAGCAGTTGTTCCAAGAGTTTTTACGTCATCTCTCTTCCAGAACGTTGCTACGGCACCTCGATACTCTCAGGCCAAAGCTAACTCATTTAAAATCTACACCATGGCCATTTTGGAGTCGTTTAAAGGTGTCGGTACACCACTCCTCAGTCATCACGCCACGTATCTTCCTGCCTAGAGAGAACACCACCCTCAAACCTTCTTGGGAACTCGGTTTGGTGGTAGCGGTTAGGGTAGAGCAAGAAACTCAGAATGGACTGAAGACGGATCTGGACTCCAGATTCAGCCCTCCAGATTCAACTGCCAGGCACCTTTGAAGAATGCACCCCCCCGCCACCACCCCAAGCTCAGTACTTCCAGTCCCATCCTAAAGCAGTCATCGCTTCAAAGGGTGTCTGAGGATTAGTTTAAATAACATAGACAACACCTTGTCTGGGGCTAAGCAGATGCCCACTAGAGGGCAATTCTCTTCCTTTCTCCCCGAAGAGAGACAACGTTCAAGGGTTGAAAGGCAACTAACAACCTTCTCATTCGGGCCTTCCTCCTGCATTTCCTTTGGTGTCAACAGGAAAACTCCACTGTTCTTGGCAAACATTTTCTCATGCTCAGATTTGTCTACTCTTTTCCCCAGCTCTACCGAGGTATGATTGACAGATAATAAAAAGTCTATATATAATGTATGCAATAGGGTGTTTTGATATAAGTATTCTTTGTGTAATGATTACCGTGGTCAAGCTGATTAATAGGTTCATCGCCTCTCATGGTTATCATTTCCTGTGTGTGTGGCGAGAACACTTAAGATGGACCGTCTTAGCAAATTGCAAGTATACAATACATGTTTAAATAGGATTATCAGGCTGTACATTAGATCTCTGGAACTTACTCATTTTATGAATGAAAGTCATACCCAAAGACCAATATCTCCTCATGTTTCCACCCCTTAGTGGCAACTACCCTGGCAACCACCATTCTGCTTTGTGTTTCTCAAAGTTTGAATTTTTAAGATTCCACAAAGTAGTATCATGCTGTTTGTCTTTCTGTGTGCCTGATGTATTTCTTTTAGCAGAATGACTTCCAAATTCACCCAAATCATCATAAATGATAGGATTCCCTTGTCCTTTTAAAGCCTAATTTATATATATATATATATTATATATATTATAATATATATATATACACACACACACGTACACACACATATATATCACATTTTCTTGATCCATTTATCCACTGATGGAGACTTAGGTTGTTTCCATGTCTTGGCTATTGAGACTAATGCAGCAGTGAACAAGGAGTGCAGGTATCTCTTCAAGATAGAGCCATTATGAAAAACAGGAGAGCAGTTCCTCAAAATGCAGCTGGTGGCTGAACTGTTCCTGTGGCTGTAGCTTATCTACCCTGGAACCAGACAGACTGTCCCAGGCCCTCTTTGAGTGTGCCGAGGACAACACATAGGGAGTCACCGAGATTTTGTGTGGTGAGCACTGTGAGGTGGAAGCTGCATCGGATCCATCGGTAGGGTGTCTTGGAAAAATTTCTAGAAAAGGTGACACCCAAGGGGTGGTGGGAAAATGAGTGTCATGTGCAAGTGTGAAAGAAGGGGGAGCAGGGCTCCCAAGCGGAGGAGGAACATGCGAAGGTCAGGAATCAGGAGAGAGTAGGTGAGGCTTCAAAGAATAGGAAGTGGAGCAGGTTAGCTGCAGCTCGGAGTCTGAGGCTAGAGGAAAATGGACCAAAAAGGGAAGAGATGAGCAGCGCACAGCAGGAATCAGGGTGGAGAGGCTTCGAGAGCCTTATACTAAATAAGAGAGTTGGGATTATTCTGGAGGGAGCTGCAAGGGGGAATGATTTGATCACTGATAACGGAAGTCTGAAGTCTCACGTGATGTTTGGAAGTAGAGTTAAAAATGCTCAGTCTGGCTATAGGACAAGAGAAAGGTGGGGGAGAAACACCAGAAGGAGGCAGAGGAAGAAGTCCAGGCGAGAAAGGAATCATTGTGGGGCGCCTGCGGGGCTCAGTCCATTAAGCCTCTGACTCTTGATTTGGGTTCAGGTCGTGATGCCGAGCCCTGAGTCAGGCTCCACGCTCAGCACAGAGTCTGCCTGTCCCTCTCCCTCTGCTCCTCTCCTGCTCTCTCTCTTACTCTTTCTCAAATAAATAAATAAAATCTTTAAAAAAAAAAAAGGCATCAGTGGAAGGGCCACGGACAAATAAACCCCCACTAGACTCCAAGGCCGGGGCAGGTGTCAGTTAGCCTAGCACTTCTGGCCCCATCCCCATCCTCGGCGTCCTTCTCCGGCTGTCTTCCTCCCTTTCTCCTCTCCCTCCTCTTCCTCAGAGCCTCATCGGTCACTAACACAGGTGTGGGGGCGCAGGGTTCTGAACCACTTTCTAGCTAGCTTTGTTAAGGCACAAAGATACATTCGCAATAGTGAAAGCAGCCTACAATTGTACGGCCCTTTGTTATCTCTTCAAAGTGCTCAGCTGCCATCGGATAGACAGAGCGAGTCTCCTAGCTCCCTGTTCCCTGGCTGTGTCGTCCTGGCCGAGTCACATTGCACCCTCCCCGGCCACCCCAGACACCATTTCCCCTCAATTGACGTGACAATAATTCCTATAAAATAAAGTTGAAAGGCTACATTAGATCATGTGTCTAACGCAAGTGATAGGGTCCCTGGAGCCTAGAACGGTGTTCAATACATTGTAATCATGATGACTACCTCAGGTCCTTACTCCTGCCTCCCCACAGTTCCCTGAGGCAGGCCCCACTGAGAGGGGCATCACCTAGTACACACGGGCCAGTCTGCGGTGGACAGAAAGTAGGTAGGTTGAACAAGCCTGTCCAAAAAGTTAGTGGCAGAGAGCAAGGAAAACTCAGGTCTTCTAAAGCTTAGTCTCGTGTACACTGCCTTGATCCTGATCATCTTGGGCCCTTTCTGAAACCGAAGGATGTGCTTCCCTCAGGGCTTTCCTAAAACCTCTTGCCTCTAAGATTCCTCATCCAGGCATTTACATAAATGCCTGTACCTTATGGGGCTGTTGGCAGCATCAGGGTCTTTGGCATGCACTCTCCCAACCACAGTGCCAGCGGCTGCATTTTCTTGGACTTCATGGATGTAACTCGGGGCCAAGAACATGGGGGGCTCATCAGCGTCTTCCACTGCAATCTTCACCGTCACAGTGTCCTTGAAAGGCCCGTTGCTGATGAACTTCGGGTCAATGTGCACGTTGGCCGCCTCTACCTTCAAGCTGTATGCTCTTTTGGTTTCAAAATCTACGGGCTGACAAGAGAGAAGAGAAGATTGACAACCAATTCCTCGAAAGAGTCGTGAAGAGAAAGACCGGATTGTTTCACAGGGCAGAGTGAATAGCTCCTCAAAGGGAGAAAATCGGGGTCTATTCAATATCCAATTACCTGAGCCATTCGGTCAGAAAATCAGACAAATCAATTGCTGAGGTGTGGACTGTGCTCCGTGGGTAATTCAGGAGCACAACAGACACAGAAGGATCACATCATCGAAAATGAACTTCATTCTATAATGACAACACTAAGGCTGTCCAGATCACTCCCTAAAATCATCCAAGGCGAGGAATTAAAACACTACAAAAGTAAACGTTGTGGCCCATTCTGTAAAGTACCAAAAATCTCGGCAATAAAAACACCCACTGAATTTCAGCACAAGTATGTCTTGTTAAAGGACTGTTCTCGTTCACACACACACACACACACACACACACACACAGTTGGCTGTTGACAGCCTGATTTTTGGTTTTCTGACCATGCAGCATTTCCCAAAGTCTGGGACCCTTACCGACATGGCCCTTAAGATGACTTCAGGGACGTTATGGGTGATTTTGGTGGATGGATTTGTTGAATGACATTAACTTACTTATGAAGTTACTTATTGACACTCGTATTCCTTTTCTAATTCTTCCATTACCAGACACACCAAGGATACCTCAATATACCTCAGGATAGTCCTAGTTTTTAACACATATGATGTTTCCTAATCTCCTTTTGAGAGACTGTGATACGACTGTCTAGCTAGAATGTAATGACGTCATGCTGTTTTGTTTGCATCCATCTCTAGGTTACCCTCCATTTAAGGCAAGTGATAAAGGCCACTGAGAATAAGGCTTCCCTGTTAAAAGAATGCACATATGTTTAAAAGAAGCCCACTTAAAGAATAAAAATATCAACAGTAGAGATTTTATGCAGATTCAAAAAAAAAATTGAGGAGTTAGTATTTGAATGACTGGAGTTATTGAGAAATTGATGGGAAACACTCCGTGTTTCTGAATGAGCGAATCAATCAGCAAAAGGTGAAAAGTACAGCTGTGGCAGAGAAACAAGCCCTGATGCCTAGGAAACAGAACTTTCTAATTAGCACTCTGGATGATGCTGAACTACCAAATGTTTGGAAAGAGTTGGGTCTTTTAAGGTTAGCATCTGCCTGCCATGCTGTTGTCAACCGCCTGGCAAACGCTTATTGTGAATGGGCATATAATCATAGGGTTTAGTCCTGACCTAATTCTACAAAGCTCAAAATTCAGGATGATTCCAGTTTTGGGGAGGAGAAACACATTCAAAGTTTTTCCATCATCTTCCCAATCCTTTCACCCCAGATTCAGGGAACACTGTTCTTCCTGAAGGAAAATCAGACCCTGGTGATCCACCCTTCTGGAACTCAACAGCTTCTTTGTCCTTCTCTGGGTTACTGAGCAGCAGAAAGGAATGTTTATTGATGGGCTACAGGTATGAGATTGCTGCAATTTGTCAAACATCTCTGCCATTATTACACAAAATAGAGAACTGCAATATCAGAGTTCTGAGACCAGGTAAGGAGAAGCATTCTAACCTCAGGTAAGCCTGTTGATGCTCTCAGAGCAGAACTCCTGGACCTCCATTTAGGCATATGGCTTGGGACTCAGAGTCCAGAGCCATGGTCCCAATGGACAGCACTGTTCACGTTGAGGCTAGTATAGTCACCCTGCGGTCTGCCCAATACTTTTCAGATTCTAAGCAAAAGTCCCCAAATCCTTGCAAACATTTTTCTGGAATGCCCTTTCCTACTTTAGTGAGACCTGACTAAGTCTTCAGGTGGTCAGCGCAATCCTCATTGCTTGTGAAGTCAACTTCCCTGAGCCGCCTTTCTGCAGCCCCTCGTTCTCACCCCTGCCGGGGGTGGTGGGTGGGGGGCATCCCAAAGGATCCTGTTGAGTCTTGTTGATCTTTGCTTCCCCACTCCCCAGGATTGACTGTAACAAGTGAGCATCTACACTAATTATTTTGACTGAATGGGGAGCAGGGCTGATGGATGAATAACCTTTACACATTTGCCTACAATTTATACCTTGACTCCTTCCAAAAAAAAAAAAAAAATTAAGGTAGTTTCCCCTGTGAACATTTATATCCATGTTATGAGTAGTTGAAATAAAGCTAAATGAGGCAACACACTTACGTAAACCATAAAAATCTTAATACCCCTTAGTTTACTAATCCCACCTCTGAGATTTCTCCCCGAGGGATTAATTCAATAGAAAACCAAAACAAACAATATTCGAAAATGCATGGTGTTTGTCAGACATAATAAAGGGTTATATCTAACCAGGGAAAACATACCCACAAATCACCAAACCCAACTGTGAGATTTTATTAAAGAAATAATGGTCCATCAATAGGATGGGATGTTATGTAGTCATTGAAAATGATTATGTGTGTTATATAACAGCATGCAAAATGTTTGTGATGTGCCAGTAAGTTAATAAATCAGATCACTCTATGATCGCAACCGTGTCAAATGTTATGTATCCACATGTATATGCGTGTGGACAAAGAGTAGAAAAAATACTCAGACATAAAACTAGTGATATTAAAATAGTGGATATTTAAATGTCTTCTAATGCTGCGCTCACACTGCTTTACAAGGACTTTATTTGGTTGAAAGTAAATAGCGCAGAAACTGCGCCAGGATCTCGGGGCCCTAAACAGGAGCCCCCTTGATCAAGGGTGTTGCAATGAACAAATTGGATTCTCCTCCCCAAGTCCACGGAGCCATCGACATGTTTCATCTTCACTTCGCACTGGTTCTTTGGCTAACCGCACAGAGCCTGTCTGAATATCCTGAGGGCAGGTTCTCTCTTCTGCACCATTACACCTCTGACACTTGCTGTGTCTGACACGGAGTCAATACTCAAGAAATATTTATTGCTTCCTCAGCTATTTGATACGTGAATGACTCTACTTCCTAGATATCTCTTAAACTCCTCACCCTAATCTCTTCTGCCTTCTTCAGTTCTCGGTAATTTCTCCCTTGGATTCCAACAACAGTGTTTCAACGGGTCCCACGGTATCCATCTCAAACTCAAGACTGAATTTATTCAGGTTTCTTCAGTGTAGCCTTCAATGTACACCAGCCCTTCAGGAGCTCTTTTTTTTTTTTTTTTCTCTTCTTACCTATTTTGGGAATTCCTACTTCTCTAGGAGTAAATTCTTACTCGTATAAGAAGTTATTCATAACCCATATTCATAGATTTTATCACACTTGGTTCTCAACTGGGGAGTGATTTTGCTCTCTGTCACCCCGGGGATATGAGGCAATGTCTAGAGCTATTTTTAAATCATCACAACAGGTGGGGTGCAGTAGTCTGTGTGCTTCCGTCTAGCAAGGAGAGGCCAGGGAGGACGCTCAACTTCCTGCAATGCACAGAACAGCCCAGGATGACCAAGAATCATCTGTCCTGAAATGTTAATAGCACCCAGGCTGAGAAAACCTGCTCTATTTTAATTGTCTTTTCACTTAACTGTTCTCTTCAACTGTGACCTCCCGATAGCCCGGACTCTGTCTCAACTTAAGACGTCCAGCCTCTCACAAGAGGCCTGATGACAAAGGGTAAGAACTCAATAACTCTTGATAGAAAATGGCTGAATGAAGAAATGAGTAAAAATACTATATTAAAGAATATTTTAAGAGAAAATATGTGTCTATGATCTCTCTTTAATCTCATATTATTAAACCACATATAATGACTTCCATAGGCTCCATCATTTTAAACTATTGAATTCACCCCTCAAAAATTCTTTTCTTTCCTGGTGGACATTTAGAACTTTGTGCTACAAGTTGAAGCAAACGTCCTCTTCCTAAGGAAATAACATCTTACAGTGTGCTAAACCTAAACTTCAGTGCTTTATAGAAGATTATTCCTTTGCCTGGAATAAACACACTGAATTGGGGGGGGAATGTGCAAATTAATCAATGCAGAGAGCTCATTTGCAATGTGTGAGTTCCATGGGGTGATTTAAATGTTTCAGGATATTAGAGACATAGTAAGTGTTTACACCCTGCATACATTGAAATCAGGTGACAACCTTAGCATAACCAACTACCCAATTACTTGAACAAGCGAAGGGTGGGAGGCAGGAATTGCCGATGTCAGTGCTCATATGTCAGTGTCATACAGAAGGGATAGTGATATTAATTAACAAGGTAAGTTGACAGCTCTATGCTAATACACTCAGCTACTTTCTAGAGGAAAACCAGAGGGCATGAGTACCATAGCCCTTTGTGGCTGATGATCAGACTGCCGTGGCCACTAATTCACTGTCACTAATGTTGACTTTTCCAAGTAGCCAAAGTTCACCTCAACTTCCATATTCTTTTACAAAAGAGTCATCTCCTACGTTCTCTCTGTTTTGCGTCCCACGGTATATCTCCCAAACCCAACAATGTCCGCAAGTATTGCAAAAAGTCAGCTTCCTAGAGCACATCTCTCCCGGCTTCCCTAACTAAAAGATTCCTCCCAGGAAATTTCTCAACCTACTCCTGCCTGCTCTCCAGCTACCAGCCTCTTTATTGATTCTTCAAATTAATTTTTTATCGGTGTTACAGTCCAATCTTTCCCATCACACCGAGGAGCTTAATATTCATGCTACAAAACCAAGTTGAAAATGAATGCTTGATTAAAACCAAGGTAATCCCATCATCCAATTCAGATTTAATGCTCCACACACTTTGATGATGGAGAGGTGTTGATTTCTCAAGTGGTAAATCAGGGGGGAAAACCATTTTAGAAAATACTGTAACTATTTCTTCACTTGAAAGTGAATCTTATGTGGCTTCCTTTATAATCCTTTTCTGGCCCAGCTGCTTCCAAAATGTCTTGAGTAGTAAGTTGAATGCCTTAGGTTTGAATTTCACATCCATGGGCTGCCAGCCACGTGACTATGACGAGATCAAATTATTTCATCTGTCTGAACCTCAGTCTCCTCATAATTAAATTGAGGTACCATTGTCCATTGGGATAACACTATCTACCTTATATAATTTTTCTGAAAAATAAATGTTTGTAAGATGTTCAGATTTCATTTAGCCTATATTTAGTATATTATATTTTATAAAAGATTTTATTTATTTATTCATGAGACACACAGAAAGAGAGAGAGAGAGAGGCAGAGACACAGACAGAGGGAGAAGCAGGCTCCACGCAGGGAGCCCGACGTGGGACTTGATCCTGGATCCTGGGATCATGCCCTGGGCCGAAGGCAGACACTCAACCAGGGAGCCACCCAGGCATCCCTAGCTTATATTTAGCTTGAGTAAATTTTAGATTTTTTTTTTTTTAAAGGACAAATAGTAAAGTCCTCTTTGCTGTGAGTTAATTCCAAGACACAGTTTTTAAGGGCATTTCAGCTGACTCTGGGGGGTGGTTCATTACTGCTGATTCACGGGCTCAATCTTGAGAGAGAATCAAGCAGAGGATTGGCTCAAGTTTCACAGAGGGCCCAGCAATGCAGTGGCCCTTAGAGACTTCAGATGGGAGACATTCTGAACAGCCAGTATGAACCGACTTAGCTGGGCAGAGCCAAAGAAGGAACCCCTTACATGCTCATGGCTATTTCTTCAAAATCTAGCTTTATCTAGCTATCTACCCTTCCAGGTAAAAACTGTGCCAAATCACAGAAAAACCAACAAGCAGTCAGCTGGCATTCCCAGCCCCCCTTTGCTAGCCCTCCCTAGTAGGAGGGAGGGGATGCAGTAAGAGAAGGGGACGCAGTCCTGTTATGTCCCCAGAGCTGGGAGCGGAACCGTGAGGTCAAGTCAGGCCCCAGCTGCCCATATTCTCATTTCTCAGCCTCCCAGTGTGTGTTCCCCACAGGTCACCTTGGCAGGGCTGGCCAGCCTGCTCACACACCTGCTTCCTCACCCTAACTCACCTTTTTCAGTTTGACCACGCCCTCCTGTGTCTCATAGTCCGTCGTGATCTCAAACAATTCCATACCGTCTCCATCAACAATATTGTATGTGACTAAGCCATTTTCTCCAATATCTGGGTCTTTTGCCTTTACTCTTCCTACTTCTTCCCCGGGGACAGCCGCTTCTGACACAGACATCTGGTACACGCCTAGAAGAAGAAGACATCTATTTTTATTTCCCTTTTTATTTGGCAGCTGTAAGATTTTAGATTTCATTGAATCCCAATAAATTTCTCAAAGGGTTTGAAATTGAACTCTCTATTGATTGAAAACATGAAAGTAGTGAATGGATGGGAAGGAGGATCCCACATGGCCTGCTTGTCAAAGAAATGTGTTCTACAAAGGATGATGAAACAGTATCAGGGTCCAGGGTGATGTGGTGGGGTCACCTGCCACATGTGAGAAAGGAAAACAATTCTCAGTTACATTTCCCAACAGGAAGTGATGGAGGACCACGTACGCCTTTATACATTCAAAGAGCAAAGACACCTTTTCATGTCTTCTGAGTGGTCCACCAGTTAATTCCAAGGCACTGCCAGATACCCAGGAAAACAACCTTCTCTTTAAAAAACTTCCACAGCCCCATATTTTTTAAACATCAAATGCAAATTTTATCCTTCGAAGTTTGACTCTTCTAACTCTATATATGACTCTCCTCTTAGACCACCTCTTTCACTGTTTGGTCAATAAGCACTGCCTTATTGGGAAAGCTTTCCCACAGTGTGGTCTGTCCATATATATTTATTTAACATTTACTGGGAACCTAATAAGTGCCAGGTGCTCCTCTAGCCCCTGGTGACTCAGTGGTAAATAAAACCATCAAGTTTCTTCTCTTACTGAGGCAAACTGAAGAGAAAGAGAGAGAGAGAGAGAAAGCAAATGTAGACCTACTATGATGTCATTGCCAGGAAGAAGACAAATAAAGTAGGGTAAGTGGTAGAGGGTAACAAGACTGTGTGACTGTATGTTTGTGTACAGTGGTTTGCGAGGGGGATGGTGCGTGCCTGAATGCACGTCTGGGTGTGCGTGAGTGTGCGGTTTTGCGGTACACACATGCGTGCATGAGTGTCAGTGTGTATATGCATGTGTGTGTGTGTACACTTGTGTTAAATATGTCCACGTGAGAAGAAGAAAGAGAGAGAATCGAGATTGATTTGACGTTGTTTGGTCCTTCAGAGAAGACATCCCTCGGAAGAAGGCATCCGAACTCCCTTGAAGGGAGTTAGCAATCAATCCTGTGAAACTCTGGATATAAAAATTACAAAGTGAAGGACAAATGGCAAAAATCCCAAAGTGGGCACATACCAAAGACATACAGAAGCAAGAAGTCAAGTGTGGCTGGAGCTTTCTGTAAGAGGTGAGGGCACATGGGTAGGCTGGGACCCATCTATGTAAAAAGGCCATTGCAGGAGAGGGAAAGACGTCAGGTTTTGTTTAAACTTGGTGGAAGCCCCTAGAAGGTTTTCAGTAGAGAAGCCAGAGAGATGATCTTATCTGCATTTTCACATTTCAAAAATATGATGTGTGAAATAATATAGAGAAACATGGGCTGGAAACCTTGTCTCTACCACTTCCCAGCTGAGTGGTTTTGGACAAGTTACTTAAACTCTTCTAAGTTTTAGGTTCCCTGCCATGGATTTTATCAGTTCTAATATTCTGTCTATATTTATCTATATTATGTGGCTTCGAATGTTTTCAGGTTGACCCATGTTGAACCTAATCACACCATAATCTGCATAGTCAAGGACAACTGGAGGTGTAGTCGTCGTAGATAAGCCTCTGTAGACAATTACCAATTTACACGAAGCTTTACAGAAACCTTTTCTGAGCTGGTTTTCTCCAAATCTCATTAGAGTTCGTGCAATGACCACAGTTTCTGCACCGAAGCCTTGTAACTTTATTATATGATCGTGTGTGAGCCAGGGCACTAATGGCTGCCTGCTAACAATCCTGTTTGTTTTCTCCTTCTACACACCAAACAATTTTGCAGTGTGGATAAGGGAGCGTGAAGTCTGTTAGAATGCTCTCTGAGCCCTAAGATTCCTGGAGGTGATGAACCCTGTGCCTGGCCAGGCGAAGCAATCTCTCTTCCCCTCTCCTTGGGCCCCACGAGAACTGCTTCTTGCCTTGTAATCCTACCTCAGTATCTCCTTTGTGCAGATGGTTGACTTTGGATTCCTCTGAAAGACCGTGGTGCCTTCCTGGGGCCATATTGTTTGCCTGCCTTGTTCCCACGTTTGCAAAAAGTGCCATCGCTCGGACAATAAACCCCCAGGTTCCACCAGCTACTCTCCTAATCTAGTGTCAAATCCTCCGCGTACGAGCAGCACCAGCAACGTTACAATCACACTGTACCTCTGTCTATATCTACATGTCCATAAACAGATTTATGTTCAAGTTCTGAATTTTCTATATTTTCAAAAAATTTTTTGATTAAGTCTTTAATTTTAATTCCACTGTAGTTAATGTGCAGTGTTATATTAGTTTCAAGTGTACAATATAGCGATTCAACAGTTCATACACCACTCGGTGCTCATCAGGACAAGTGCCTTCCTTAATCCCCATCACCTATTTCACCCATCCGCCCCACCCATCTCCCTTCTGGTAACCATCAGTTTGGTCTCTACAGTTGAATCTGTTTCTTGGTTTTGTTTGATTCTTATTTTTTTTTAAGATTTTATTTATTTATTCACAAGAGACAGAGACAGAGAGAAAGAGAGAGAGAGAGAGAGAGGCAGAGACACAGGCAGAGGGAGAAGCAGGGTCCATGCAGGGAGCCCGACATGGGACTCGATCCCGGGTCTCCAGGATCACACCCTGGGCTGCAGGCGGTGCTAAACTGCTGAGCCACCCAGGCAGCCCCACATTTTCCTAATCCATTCATCTATCGATGGACACTTGGGCTGCTTCCATAATTCGGTTATTGTCATAGTCAGGAATGCTGCTATAAAGACAAAAGTGCATGTATCCCTTTGAATTAGTGTTTTTGTATTTTAGGGGTAAATGCCCAGTAATGCGATTACTGGATCATAAGGTAGTTCTATTTTCAACTTTTTGAGGAACCTCCATACTCTTCTCCACAGTGGTTGTGTTAGTTTTCATTCCCACCAACGGTGCAAGAGGGTTCCCCTCTCTCAGCATCTTCACCAATACCTCTTATTTCTTGTGTTTTTGATTTTAGACATTCTGACAGGTGTAAGGTGGTATTTCTTTGTGGCTTTGATTTGCACTTCCCCAATGGTAAGTGATGTTGAGCATCTTTTCCTGTGTCTATCGGCCATCTGTATGTATTCTGTTTCTGTCTTTTGCCTATTTTTAGCTGGATTATTTTTTGTTTTTTTGGGTTACTTTGCTACATTCTTTGCGCAACTTACTACACCTTTCACGGAACCCAATTTTATCTGTAAAATGTAGGCTCTTGTAGAGATACTCAATAGTAGTTACTATTCATTATATGATAGTAGTTGTGATTATGATGATTACTAATCTTTTTTAAAGATTTTATTTATTTATTCAGGAGAGAGAGAGAGAGAGAGGCAGAGACACAGGCAGAGGGAGAAGCAGGCTTCATGCAGGGAGCCCAACGTAGGACTCGATCCCGGGACTCCAGGATCAGGCCCTGGGCTGAACACAGGCTGCCTGATGATTACTAATCTTAAAAAATCATTTCTTCTTTTATTTCCCTCAGCAATCCTATCAATTTTGTAGGAGGACCACAATCCCCTAGATAATAATACTGTTGTTGAGAACTTATGCCAAATATCATAAGATTTCATAGTAGTCTATTTAGTTCTAACAACACCCTATTAATTAAGACCTTTGGAAGACTGTATTCTCTGAAAATGGCCAAAGCCATATCTCCCATCCCACATGCTTTTCCTTCAACATGACTTCGACAGTCTTTCCATTGAAAAATGAGGTCCTCTAGGACTCACTTAAGTTTGAGTAGTCTTATGACCACAGTGGAAATGATGTCATTTCTGTAGTTAGGTCACAAGAGGCAATACAGTCTCTGCTGGATATCCTTGGGGCTCTCACTTTCAGAACCTATCCACGCCATTCCTTGGTGACCCCCACATGGAGAGAAACCAACAACCAATGCCAACGCATCAGCCATGTCACTGAGCATTCTTTGAAATGGATCCTCCAGCCTCAGTCAAGCCATCCTCACTTGGTGCTATGGAAACAAAGACAAGGGGTCTCCTCCAAGTTTTGCCCAAATTACAGACTTGTGACAAAAATAAATGATTATTATTGTTTTATACAAAGGTTTTGGGCAGTCTATTTTAAAGCAATAGATAAGTTACTCAGGTACTACTACCTCCAGATTAGAAATGAGAACATTGAGATAGAGAGGGATTAATTAATTGCTAGACTGCATAGCAAGTATCTAGTGAAATACCTAGCAAAACAGATTTTCTGTATCTAGGATCACAGAATTTTTTTAATCTCTTTTTTAACTTACTACTTTTATTCTATTTTCACTTTTTTATGCGGCTGTTGTATTGTTTTTGTTTTCATTTTTTGGCATGAATGATAAAGAGACTCCATTCTTCTAGATTTCTTCTTGAAAGCTGAGTAAAGCAGGAATGGGTCAGAGAAGGGCTGGCTGTGGCACCATTAAAATGTGAAAGCCAAGCCCACCTACTTACTCTGCGGAAACTTTGGTGGGTTGTCATTGACATCAGTCAGTGTGATCGTCACTTTGGTTGTCCCTGAGAGGCCACCCATGTGTCCACCCATGTCCTTGGCCTGGATCACCACGTGGTACTCCTCCTTGGCTTCCCTGTCCATGTTGGGAAGGGCTGTCCTGATGATACCTGGACAGGTGAGTGGGAAATATCATATCATTGATAACAACATTAAAACAACAACAACAAAAAAAGTTCTAGGCATTGGGGAAGCAAAGAGGAATAAAACAGAACCTGCCCTCACACAAGAGTCACTTCAACATGATAGTTATAGCTAAAAATAGCCATACTTAAGAGCACCATATAGATAGATGTCTTTCTCAGCAAATTGTCATAATTATTAATATAGCATTAAAATTTTATGTGCTTTATATGTTGCATTGTAAATGCAAGTAATAACCTCACTATTCTCAGGCATAACACTTGAGGTTCCTAAAGGATGAAATATTTGAGGGCCCGTTGCATGGATACCCATGACTAGACTCATGCTTTTGAAATGCCAGCAGAATCTTTTGAAAGTCTATCCCAGCGCACAATTCTTAGAATTCAACCTAATATGGCTTATATTAGGTTAAAAGTAGGCAGCATGTATTCCATGCAATATGTTGAAATGTAATTATTAAATTTTAAAAGAGTGAGCCAAATGAGTTAAAAGTACACACAATGCTCATACAAACATTTACTGTTTGTACTCCTACCACCCATCACCGACAATGGTGGTAAGTTAATGATCAAATTCTACATGGTCCCGGGCTATTAGCACATGATTGGCATGAAAACCACGCTCACTGAAACCTCTTGAGAACATGTCCAAGCTGCTCTTCTTCTCTGCAGATATGGTAACATTTATAGTGGAAATAAGAAGAAAGCCTCCTGTCCCTCTCTTAGCCCTGATGTCTGTATTTCTCAGCAACACCCTTGAACTCACTGAGTCTCATGTCTGATCTGTCAAACACTTCGGTAGGTTCAAATAGGTTATTTCTAACCAGGAGTCCTTGAGAAAAATGAAGGTTGCAACTGGAATTCCTCCATCGGTTTTCAGCATCTCACATCTGGATGCTAAAAATCTGGGTGCAATCCCACATTGATCCTTAGTTAATCTGGAAAGGCTAAACAGCAAATGCCTTTGATGGAATCATAGCAAGTAACCCCACAGGTTGTGTTCTGAAGCAAAGTGGCTACAAATAAATAATAACAAAGGTCAATGGAAATTACATCCAGCAAATGGACGAAATGTCTGATTGACAGGCCCTATGTATACATATTAATATATATATATATATTCATATAATTAAAGTATACCAACAAATGTGGTTTATTAGTAAATATCTTTTAAATGTATCAGGCATATTGTACAAAAAGAAAGCAGTTTGGGGGAATATATTATAGATTAGAAGTTTCACAAGATTCCAGTGTTTATTCTAAACAAAGGACCCCGGAATAAAGTTTGGGATAAATGAAGTGGAACAATTTGGTTTTGGTGGTTATATTTTTTTCACCCTTTTGATTTGCTGTCTTTTTTCCTGTAAGAACTGTGCAGAGCCTTCTTTCTGGATAATGCCTGTTGGGGATCTGTAAGCACAGGGGAGGAACATGCCACCTCCTAAACACATGTGAACATTATTAACATCCATTCCCAGCACCCCGCGTGGTGGGCTGCAAAGCAAGCTTTGAGAGCTGCCAGTTTTCATCAGCCCTCAAGTTCAATGGGTCTTCACTGGGGTCCACAGTTGATACTTACGAAAAAATTCAACTATTTTAAGATATGCTCTTAAGTTTAAATTAAATTTTAAGATATGGTTTTAAAACAAAGGTTGTATTTTAAGATTATATTTATTAAAATGGCCTGGTGACGGAGGGGCAGAGACTATAACAGATAAAGTTCGTTGGAAGCTAACCACACCCAGGCACATGCACGCACAGTGTCTACTCCTCCCCACAATCTTATGAGGTGGCCTTCCTCATATTTGAGAAGACTGAGACTCAAGTAGGTTTAGTGAGTCGGCCTGGACTCCTTATGTCGTGTCATGGGTCACAGCGACATTACACGGTACCTGTCTGTGCTTCCACTGAAAAGTAGGGCTGTCCTTCCAGGATACTGTACACTAACTTGGCGCTGTTTCCATACGTAGGATCATCGGCATCTGAGGCGGTCACCTGGATGACCGACGTTCCTTAAAAAGTGAAATAAATTCATTAGCAACACCTCCCCAGCTTTTTAAGTTCTATTCCAGTTTATGAAGTTCCATCTTAAAATTAAAAACTGAGAAAAGCCCTACAATTATGTAACATGCTCTCACTTCTCTGGGGGTAGAGGTGTAAAACAATCTTCCTTTCTTCCTCCTTTTCTTCCTTTCCTCTTTCCTTCCTTAAAAACAAAACAAAACAAAAACCCACACACACACACAAAAAAAAAAAACAACGCCCATCGCTTAAAAATGAACTTTCTAAATTCCTAGTACATTGTGCTATGCTTAGCAGTTCAAGTAATAATAACATTATTGTGAAAACATTCTAAGACCCATGCAGTTGGAATGTACGGTACATCAAATAATTAAATAAAAATCTTCTCAAAGAGTATAATAAAGAATAATTAATGATGAATTGCTTTTTGTAAAAGGACAGAGAGCAGTCTTCCATCTGTAGCAGAGCAATAAATATATCGTTTTATTGTTGCTTTGCATGTAATAAAATAGCTCCTAATACTACATTCTAATTAATTTATGGCTGTAAATATTGCACAGAATGTTGTTCCCTGGTGACATGAAAATTGCATCTTCCCACCTCTAACGGGTCTGGCACTCATTTAATAGAAACCACCCATAGACGTCGGTGGGTCCGAAGGCCAGGAAACCAGAGAAATGAAGGGAGATGAGATATTCTGTTTCTCCTGGAAAAGCCTCTCTCCTTTGACGGTCACAAAGACTGGAGGCCCCAAGGTGCCGGGTGACAGAGTGGGGTGTGGTGCCAGAGGAAGAGAAACGGAATTGAGGGCCTTGTGCCAGGCGCTGTTTCGGGCACGTCCCATGCGTTGTGCCAGCCTCGCTCTGCTTCTCACGTTGACATCGGCTGCATTGTGAGGAATTAGGTGTGAGAGGTCTGAACGTTTGCAATCTATCTTGCTAAGTGGATTATCGCGAGTCCGGAGTCTAACCCTATCCAGCAACCAAGTGAACGCAGTCTCTCTGTGACATTTGCAACAGAGGGCAAGGTTCCGTGTGGGGGGCAGGGGAGCCCGTTTACACAGCCTCTGTCAACCCTTTAATTTACTATTGTCAGTGATTTTTATGCGGTGTAAAAGTCAATCTTGCTTTTTTTCTAATTACTTTTCTGTAATTCATTATTTGTTGCAAATGGCTCTTCTGGAACTCTTCCCGTTCAACCAGGCACTATTCTAGGTAGTAGGGGTCTATAAAGGGGCAGAGCCCCTAGTTTCTACCATCGCGGTAGAGCTAGGGAAATCATCAAGGCTCTATGCTTCACTTGCTTCTGGAACTCCGCTAAATCCATTACGGCTCCTTGTAATTTCCATCTGCGTAACTTAACCCTCCACACGGTTTAGATTATCCTCACTCTATAGATGACACAATGAAAACCGAGAAAGATGTGACCAGTCACCCAGGTTCACCTGGCTGGTGAGGGGCACGGCCAGGACTTCAATCTGGTACGACGACAACAGACTCTACTCTCGTAAGCCGTGGCAGAGAGCCTGGGTGTCATCCCGAAGCATCAGGAGCCCCCAGAGGTGGGGACAATGTAAATTCCTCTGGAATATTCTTCTGGATGACCGGTCTTTCCTTCTGGGTCAGTTGCCGATGCTACTGCTGTCCCCTATTTAACAATCTGGCTCATGTCTGCTTCTTTCTCATTAACATCCCTAGGTAAATACCAAGAGACTAAAGGGCTGGTCATGGTCAGGGAAGAGGAGCAAGGAGTGAGGCCTGGACTTCATAAAACATGAGAAGAGCCTGACTTTATCTGGAGGATGAAAAAAAAAAAACGAGAGATTCTTCTTCTTCTTCTTTTTTAATCCCGAGTTCTACATGCAGAGTGGAAAGAGCTTAGGGTCTCAGGGTTACTTCTGCATCTAACTTTTCTTGAGCAAGTTGGTTCCTATTCTTGCTGCTTGGTTTTCTCATCTGTAAAATGGGCAGCTTGGCTCTGGTGATCCTTTCATCCATTTGGGCTCTAAAATCTCCGATTCATATAATCGGACTCATTCCCTGATCAAAACAGCCCTGATGATTGTCTGAAAGACAAACCCTTCCATGTGTCTCGAAAGACCACAACTGCATGCGTTCTATGAAGCCTTTTCCTGCCAGGAAAAGGTGTCCAGGGGAAGAAATCTTTCGGAGAAATATTCTTTAACAGTGCAGGGTGTCTTCAGGTCTGACGAAAAGATAGATCTACTTCTAAATTGTTCTAGCAGGTGGTGACATAGTGCCATGGTTCTATGTGTATTCTGTGGCCACTAAATAGCTCAGGTGCCCTGGGATGAATTAGTTGACCTGTTTGTAGCTTGGATTTCCCATCCGCAAAATAGGTCAGAGGACCTACCTCACTGCAAAGAGGAATCATCGCAAAAATTAAACGCAGCGATGCCGTGTAAGTCATTAGCTAGCATGAGGCCCGCCTTCAACCAGTATTGCCGACACTGGGACTCCAACAGACATCAACGTGCACTAGTAACTGGACCACGCGGCCTCGAATCCCGTAAGATCCCACACTCTTCCCCTACTCTTTACAGAAAGGGATACTAACGCTAAGATAGAGCCAACTGGATCCGAGTTACATGGCGAAGGGGCGCCCGAGCCCGGATAACAGGATCGGGTCGTGTTCTCGCCACTCGGCCACACGTCCTTGCGTTGTGTCAGTTTAGGTCTTAAAATCTCGGGTCCATTTTAAATATTTGAAACTTCAACTACACAAATAACATTTCCTGTCGCTACGCCATGGAAGAGGCGCATAAATTCACCTTTCCTGATTTAGGAGAAGAGGCACCCGCCCGCCCACCCACAGGGACCCCAGGCCTGCAGTTGGGGTCGGCCTCCCCTGCCCTACGCACCCACGTTGGACCTCTCAGGCACGTTCGCGTGATAGGTCTCGTGCAGGAACTCAGGAGGGTTGTCGTTAATGTCCTGGACCTTGACAATGAACTCCGATGGTGGCTCCAGCGGCCGGTTCGTGTCCCTGTCCACCGCCTGAGCCATGAGGGTGTACTGGGCTCTCTCCTCTCGGTCCAGTGTCTTGGTGGCATGGATGTTCCCTGATTTGTCATCAATCACAAAAATGGTTCCGGCTCCTTCACCTGAGAGAATGTATTTAATGTTCCCATCACCAGAGTCAATATCGGAATGAAGCTAGGGAGAGAGAAATCGAGATGTTAATCCCGGGAGGGATGCCACGGAGAGACACGGACTCACTCGAACGCCGTTCGCTACAGGACGCTCTCCACGTCCACTCACTGACGCAGACCCACACACACACCGTGACAGGGAGACGCTCTCACTTTTTGTACAAGTGAGCATGGAATCTTAGAGAAGCTACTTGCCGGGATCCCTGGGTGGCGCAGCGGTTTGGCGCCTGCCTTTGGCCCAGAGTGTGATCCTGGAGACCCGGGATCGAATCCCACATCGGGCTCCGGTGCATGGAGCCTGCTTCTCCCTCTGCCTGTGTCTCTGCCTCTCTCTCTTTCTCTCTCGGTGACTATCATAAATAAATAAAAATTAAAAAAAAAAAAAAAGAAGAAGCTACTTGCCTTGGCCAAGGTGGCACAGCTGGGTGCAGTGAACCCGGCGTTCAAACTTGACCCTGAGTTTTTTAGATTTTAAGATTGACGCTCTCCCTCATTAATATGCACACATAACAAAATAGATGCACAGATTCACATTCACACAAATACGCACACAAAATACATATCCACACGCACAGTAATGGGATTATTTTGTTTTGTTTGTTTGTTTTTTTGGGGGGGATTATTTTGGAAGAAATATATACTTGACCTAAAAATTAAAAAAAAACAAGCATTTATGCTATACATAAGCCTTCTCAGTTCTGCTTCCCACTTCTTGGATTTCTCTGCTCACACGCAACGGTTGTTACCAGTTTCTGCGAATCCTCTAAGACACCGGGTTTTACGCATTATGCTAGGCTATGTGTACAGAGAGATGCATAAATGTCCCAGCTTATTTTTGTGCAACACGCCACTGTCCACCTCTGTTCTCCTAGAACAGTAAACTCAGGAGGCCTCTCGCACTGGAACACGTGGATCGACCTCACCCACTGGATGGATCTGTCATCCTGCTTTAGCTGTCCTCTCCCAAAGGACACTAAGGTCGCCTTCAGGCTTCCGTTACTACAAGCAACTCATCAGTCAGACCCTCCCAGGGGACCCTCCGTGAGAGACACGAGGCGTGAGGGCCTGGGGATGTGGCCTGCCCGGAGGAAACGCCCCATCTGATCCTAGGCACTGTGGGGGTAGGATGGCTTGACAAACACACAGCTTCTTACACGATACAGAGAACCTTAAACATCTCTAGGGGTTTTCTTCCCTCCTCTGACGAAGCCCAGGGCAACAATGGTACTTGCCTAAGTCCACATTTGGCAGGGCCAGGGCAAGACCCCGCTCTCCTGCCTACTCACCCCTGCCTTGATTCTGCTCCGTGCTTCAGAACGTGGAACCAAAGGCCACGTCTGACTTTCCTGTAGCGACAACACTTCACCTTTCCTCGATGTCACCTCCATGTGTGAAGCTTCCACCCTCACCTGAGTGCCTCTGCCCTCTCTATGCCACTTGTCAGAGGAGAAAAGCATTGCTTTCACCATTTCCACAGGCCTCAAGGGTAGCCGAGCGGCTAGGAAGCCCTTGATTCTACCCCCATGTGAGAAACCCCGGCATAAACCGAACAGTGTTGTGCGGATGGCATTGATGATAATGACAATATTTCTTATTTTCAATGACAATTTAATACTGATAGTAGAAGCAAAGTGATTTTAATATTATTATCGATGCCATTTAAATTATCATTGTTATGACACCGAGCCCAGAGAGCTTGTTCGGAATCACAAAGCGGGGTTGCACACACTGCTTTTTAAACATTTTTGTGTTGTTGTGAGTTCCCAAAAAGCATCTAATTGATTTGCGGGGCCTCCGTGAAACACCACCTATGCCAGCGTGGGGACAGACCTGCGGGCATAAATCGGGAAGACCGTTTTGATTCTAGTTCACAGTCTTTCTCAGGAAAATTAAAAATAAAGACATACTTTGCTTCGGAACTTGTTAACATTTATAACAAGCTTTGTGTGGTCATGGAATAATATTTAGTACGTTGCCCCTGAATAAGGCAGTTTGTGAGTTAAGTATGAGGCTGTTGAACGGCCTCCAAAGGATGAACGGAATTGCCCGGATCCGGATCCTCTTCATAGGATTTCCACGGTGAGGGCAGGATCCCTGCTGCCGTCCCCCTGGCTTCTCCCCCCAACACCCCCCTCCACCCTGTGGTTTGCATTTGTCCGTTTTCTCTGCCTCAGACCTGGCAAAAGTTAGGGGCTCAGTCTTGTGAATAAGAAACAAGGAAATAAACGCTTATTTTAAAGGGAGTTACTAGAAGGGACGTTTCCAGGGGCTTTCATGTAGCACATGTGAGCGTGGCCAAGTTTCTGTAACATTAAATGGATTCTAGTTCATGATGAACCAAATAACTGCAAAAGAAAAATGTAAAAACATAGCACTCAATATTTTTCTCTACTTTGTTTTCAAATCTGGAAGCTGGATATCAATTCCTTCTTTTTCTCCCTCCAACAAAGATGACCCATACAACTGACAACGGTATTTATTAGGTTCGACACAAAAAGCAGTTTGGGAAACCATTCAATCCTATCAGGGGACCCCGTTGCTGCGGCACACACAGCCAACTGCTAACGCCAAAGACTGATGGTGTCCCCTCTGCAGAGCACAGCGGGGCACAGACTGTGTTTCCTGCAGGAAATCTGAACGTCCGTCGCTTGCCAAAGTCTACTTTTCCAGAGCATCGTAAAGCACTCAACCTTGAATGCTGTCAACTCAAAGGTCATCCCGTCTACTCCCGTTCACAGGGAACTATGCATCTGCATTATCTCCAAAGGAAGAGCCAGAGGATCCAGACACCTTTTTCTTCGAACACCATCTCATCTGATGTCTCACTCTCCGTCTCCGGTGCCTGTATTTTAAAGACCACCAACTGCTTACTTTCCTCCATGCTTTTCCCTACGCTCCCTTCCAGCAGGCATGTCAACTGCTTACAAGGAAAGGGTCCTCCAGGTCCTGTCCCTTCCGCAGTCCCCCACCCCGACACGCACACTGTTCCCCATTGAGAAAGTCCCCAGGCCAAAGGTTCTACACTCTCAGAGCAAGTCAGGCATAGCTCCCACGTTGTTCGAGCTGCGCGGCTCCCCCCATGACTGAAGCCTCGTCTTCCTCTCTGGGCACAGAGCCCATCTCCTCATGGAGGGAATTCACATGCCAATTATTCCCCTGGGTTCCCATTTCCCCAGACTACTTCTATTTTGGGTATAATCTTTCCATTTTGGGGGTATACTTGAATGAAATTCTCTCGGGACACGTCTGTGAAAAGGCACTTTGCCACCCGAACAACCTTATTGAGATGCTAATAGGAACCCCTTCCAAATATGTCAATTATATAAATATGCATTGCTGTTCTCATGTTAAAGAACAGCTGAAATAACCCGTCGGGATATCGGAGGCCTAGCAGTTAGCATCCCGCAGATCTCCTCTTGTCCTCTCTCCCTTCAGTGGATAACCTCTCATCCTTCAGGTCACACGTTATCATCATGTTCTCTATGAAACCTGCCTCTAACCCTCCCAAACGTTCCCATGTACGTGTATGATTACTTCTGTTGAATTTCTTCGTCATCCTATTCTTTATTTTAGGGTGTGTGTGTGTGTGTGTTTAAATTTATTTTTTTTAATTTTTATTTATTTATGATAGTCACAGAGAGAGAGAGAGAGAGACACAGGCAGAGGGAGAAGCAGGCTCCACGCACCGGGAGCCCGACGTGGGATTCGATCCCGGGTCTCCAGGATCGCGCCCTGGGCCAAAGGCAGGCGCTAAACCGCTGCGCCACCCAGGGATCCCTGTGTGTGTGTTTTAATTCCTTAGGTAAGTGTGTCTTTTTCACTGGGGTCTGAACTCTTTGAAGTCAGGGATATTTTAACCCTAGTTTTGCCATTTGCCCACCTCTTCCCCAGAGCTCAGGAGGCTTTCATTCTCGTGTAGATGATCACCTGTCCCCTTGTAGTTAAGGCCGCTATCCTCTGACAAAGGGATGCACGGTTTAAAATCAATGATAACAGGTGACACATTTGTTAGTGTATGTTGGACTGCCTGCCCTTTGCACTTTCTTGGAGGAGGTTCACAGGGAAGGCGGTCCAAGTACTGCTAAGACTCTCAAGTCACTCCAGCTGGGTGTTGCCACTCCTGAGCCAAGGCCACAAAACCCCACCCATTCTTAAGACACAGCCACTCATCTCATGGAGTATTCATTTACAGAGGCCGCCCTAAAACTGGGCTTAGTACCAGGACCTTGGGACAAGGATGACACTGGTCCACTCCAGTGAAGGAGACGGACAAACACAGACCCATGTAATGTAAGAAGGAAAGCTCTCATGAAGAGCAGGGAGGGTTCTGAGAAGGCAAGGGGGGGGGGTGCGGATAGCCTACGCTCAGGGAAATGCCCTCCGTTGGAGAATGGATAAATAAATAATGGTTTCAACTCAGTAGACTATGGTGCAGCCATTGAAAATGGAGTTTAAAGGTAGACTATTAAGTGGAAAAACAGAAGTGTTGGTAACATGGTCAACTCTATGAATTGAGAAGAAAAACAAAGGGCTGAAAGGATGTTTGAGCAATGATCTTATGGTTCTTGTTGAAGCACCCTTAGTGGGTTTGCCCCGTCCTGGGAATTTTCTTTTTGGGTCATATCCTCCTACTGGCACGGCGGAGAGAGAGACAGAAGCCCTGCGGGGCAGCAGCCTTACCCTGCCCACGAGCACGGGGTCAGGCCCGGTGTACTCCTCTATCACGAAGAACTGGTTCCAGACCCAGCCTCTCTTGGAGCGCTGCAGCACCTGCCCCTCCTTGCCCTTCTCGTGGTGCCCGTGGAACGAGGGGCGCAGGTGGCTCCGCCGCTCTGTGGCCAAGGCCTGGCTGTGGCACAGCACGCCCAGGCACACCAGGGCGGCTTGTAAACAGTAGTGCTCCTTCATTTTTGGTTACGTGGTAGGCACAGGAGAATGCGGCTGTCACCCCTTACACCGACCCTGTGGCGGCCTGGCCGGTGGTGGCCTCCCGGACGCGTCACGCAGACCTCTCTTGGAGCGGAAGGTCTCTGCTCACCGAGCACATCACGTCAGGGCTGCGCACTCCCCCAGTCGGCTTCTGCAGGAAGAGAGGAAGGGCAGATTAGCGGCAGGCTCCTTCCCCAACTCCTTCAATGCCACCCCATACACGGTGGGCCACAGGAGCGCTGCCTTTGGGTACTGAGGGGGCAGGATGAGGAAGAAACAGGCCCCGGGCTCACTCTCGCTCGCTTACTCTCTCTCACAGCTCACCCCATGGCAGGTGGGATAAAGACACAGACAAAGAAACCCCTCGAGGTCTGTATGAGGATGGACGCGTGTGTGCTGTGCAATCTAGCTGCCAAGGTCTCAGAGTCAGTTTAACCACTGACTAACTCTGGGTTTGGGGTAAGCTAACAGCTCTTTGCACTCAGCTTGCTCATTTATGAAATGGGGATGCTAATCATACTCACTGCAAGGTTGACACGGGGATTAAATGACTTACGCCTCTAAATCCCTTAGCACAACGTCTGGTACACAGCAAGCACTCCATACTGATCTGTTATTATTATTGATCACAATTGTTCTAGGGTATGTTTTCATAATGGGGAAACTCTGGGCATATGAGAGTCCAGGAGATGAACATCTAAGGGATGGGGATTAAGGGTGGACATGGCGGAGAGTGGGGGCAGCTGTGGAGACTCCCCAAGTGCAGGGTGGCTGTGCTCCACCCTGAAGCAAGAGCTACTGTGATCAGAAGGGAGTAGATGGGAGGACCGTGCAGAGGAACTATGTTCCCCAAAGCCCGGAGCTCGCCACAAGCACAGCACATCCCAACGTTGGTCAGCATGACTGGATGGTATAAGGAGAAAGGCAGCAATGGACCCCGCCAGAGCAAGGAGACTGAGGCAGATCCTGAGAAACCACCCATGATCACAAAAACATGTGTCAGTGAAATAATGGGTTATCCTCATGGTGGATAAATGAATGCTATGGTATCAACTTAATGAGCAAGATTTGCTCTTGTTGGATCAAAGGTCCACCCGAGAACCTGAAGATCCTTCCTTAACCTGACAGTCTTAGAAAGGATACTTTATAAGCTTTTTTCAACCACGTGACGCAATATGAAAGAGCACTCCCCACCAGCTGGTCCAAAGACCTTGTTCCTGGCACCCAGTCATGGCTCAGCTACTCATCAGTAGAGGATGAGCCTTCCACAGCCCTCGTAGATTTCTGACCTGCAGTTACTCTGGTCTTCAATTTCTGCCTTGGGTTCCTGGACTTCTTCACTAAACCTAGTTTTGCTGCTGCTGGAAATTTAATTATGTCCTTTGGAACTCCCCTTGCTTCTTCCCCTCTCTTGGCACCCTGCAATTTCTTCTGGACAATTGTCATCTTCCCCCGGTGTGCCACCCAGACTTCAGCTGGAACCCTAGGTCCCAGAATCAGGCAATCCCCATTACCATGCCCGCCAGGGACAAGAGCTATTCACAGAAGATTGTTAGGCATGGAGGGTAACACTCTGGTACTAAAGATGACACCTCATTTCAGCACCAGTGAGTCTAAATGAGGTGAGCCTCTTGAGCACTGCAGAAACAAAATCATGTAATTCTTAGCTATCTAGTACTAAGGTAGTGGTGATAAGGGGAGGAGAACAAAAGGGAAGGTGCATGAATCTTGGCATAGTGGCATGTACCTAGACCTGGAGGTCAGATAGACCTCGGTTAGAATACCACTTCTACATCTTACAACATAGGTGACGTTGGTCATATCAGTCAGGCATCCTGAGCCTCTAGGAGTGGTCTCATCTAAACCACGGGGAGGGCAAGTTGCTGCCCACATACGGGGCTTCATACAGAGTTGGGAACTGGACACAGCATGGGTCTCTTCCTTTCTTCCTAGAATGCCGCAACCCAAGCCCATAGGTGTCGCTCAATAGAAGGAGATGCTCTTGCCTTGCAGATGGAGATGCTCAGAGAAGGATGGTGAGGTGTTTTCTCTAAGAGAGGAATTGAGGCATAAGAGGTACATGGGGATACCATAGCCATCTGGTCTTGGTAGTCTGAAAATAAGGGAATTGATGAAATTCTAATTTGTTGGAGCAGGACATTTTTCTTTCTGATGGTCTTTGGCTTCGCCAAGCCAAGCCTTTCTGCTTCCTTTGTCATATAGCAAAATGTATCTAAGAGGCCACAGATGTGCAGATAATTTTGGGTGTCCATCACTGCCCCCCCATATATTCTATAACGTATTTTGTTAGTCTCTATTCGAGGAATAGGAGTCCAATATCTGTTGGAGACAGACATCTCAGGGTATGGTGAAGGTTGTGTGGAAGAGAGAGAGAGATTAAAAAGGCAGTGTCATCATTCAACAGCTTCGTCCTCAGACTTGGGCATGCTAATAATACATCAAATGCTGCTTCTTGCAATCCAAACTAACTGTGTGAAAAAAAAAAAAAAGCACAGAGAAGGGACCCAGGAGAAGTCAGATCCTAAAATGAGTCAATGTGAAGCAATAGAACGATCCCTGGTTTAAGCCAGGAAGCCAGATATATGGTTGAGAATCTGTCAGTACCTTATCATGGGACTGCATCATTCCTGTGTTGGTACATTCTCTCCAAAATAAAGCCTTTGGGTGACATTTTCTACAAATGGCTTCCAGTTTCATATTCGTGATTGGAGCTCCAGTGAGTGATTGTTGGGGATTTCTTCTGATTCATATGCTGTCTCTTTATTAAACTGGATGCATCTTAATGATTGGAATTATACCTTATATATAATTATAGATCCAGTGACTGTGCTTTTGAAAGCAAGCCATCAGGGATGCCCGGGTGGCTCAGCGGTTGAGCGCCTGCCTTCGGCCCAGGGCGTGATCCTGGAGTCCCGGGATCCAGTCCCACACCGGGCTCCCTGCGTGGAGCCTGCTTCTCCCTCTGCCTGTGTCTCTGCCTCACTCTCTTTCTGTATCACATGAATAAATAAATAAAATCTTAGGAAAAAAAGAAAGCCAACAATAAAAGTTGAATGTATGATCTGAACCACATACTTCAAGTGCAAACTTGATACTGCTACCATAGAATCTCAAGAAGAAGAAACAGAAAAGACCATATGGTGCGACAGCGACAAGATCCCTGCCCATTTTACACCATGCCAAGTATTAAGTGTTCATTCACATGGTGATAAATTATTCTTGCATATAAACTGTGAAGTGTATTTGAAAGAAAGGGTTTAATTAAAGTTCATATTTCTGCACCTCTTTCTTCTGGCTGCCATTTTGCTGTAAAGCACAATTATTTCTGACACCAGAAGTGTTAAAACTAGATGACAACTTTTCTCCCTTGATAAAAAAAAAAAAATCTAGCTTGATACTAATGAATTTAAGAGTTTCCACATGACCCAAAAACAACGAACCCATTACCAAAAAGATGAAATTTTCTACCTTCTTCTTTTGAAAAGAATAGCAAAACCAACTGGGCTCTTAAAAATAACTCATTATTTGAAAGTACTTATATGACTATATGTAATATGTAATATTATTTTAAAGATTAGTCTCAGATATATATATATATATGATGAATTTTAAGACATAGCTTAAAAAATACTCACTTTCAGAATGAAAACTCACTTAGCAAAAGCTTTCTCTAGCTACTGTTCTCATAACTTTACAAATACTAATTCAGCTATTTATTTCGATAACAAATTTATGAATAGGTACTATCAATATTCTTATTATAAAGGATGAGGAAGCTGGAGCCCAGATAAGTGAAGCAATTTGTGCAAAGCTATGCTTCTGGGAAATAGCAGAGCTGGAATTTGAACCCATGCCATCTGGCTCTGGTGTCTGTGTTCTTAATCAGTGAACAATACCAACTCCTGCTATTTGTTTCTGTCTCCATTCGTAAGGAAATGATATGGTTCCTATGCTGGATACTGGAACCTAGAAGGCACCTGAAGTAAACCAACGCTAGACCTTGGTATACACTAACAATATGACTGATTAAAATAGTAATAATAGTTAATATGCATCCAGCATTATGATCTGCCTAATACTCTTCTAAATGCTTTCTATGAGTTGAGTCATCAAATTTTCACAATAACCCTTCACCGATAGTAGTATTGCTATTGTAAGCAGTCTGAGGCATAGCCAAGATTAAGTCACTTGCCCACGGTTACAGAATCAAGCGGGTGGAGGAGCTGGGACACGAGCCTCGGATATTTGGCTCCAAGACCTGTATCCTCATCCCCTACGATCCTGCGCTACACCGCCTTTCTAAGAGAAGGATGCTGAGCAAATATAGACACACTTCGTGATACACACATAACAGCCTTAAAATGATAATAATTTAAGTTTTGGTGGCACCGGTGGTGGCTAAAATACTAAAACCAAACCAGAAAGAGGAGGATAAAGCATTTTATCGCAGTGACCAAAGTGAAGACGAACAGGAAGTAATTGCATCAACAACACAGTACAACCAGCCTTTAAACAACACATTACGCAAAAGTTAATCTTTGCTTTTTTTTTTTTAATTCTTAAATGACTTGTTTCAAAATTTCTAAATGTATAAGTTTCAAAAATGTGTTCAGGGAGATTCATTTTTTTTTTTTGTTTGTTTGTTTCCTTAAAGAAATGCTTCTAAAATCTAGAGACCTGATTGATGTGTTCAATGGTAAAGAGTTTGCAGGGAACATACGTGAAAATTAATAGGAGACTGCCCTCCTAAGAAGACTTTGACATCAGTAATAATTAGGGAAATATATCAATGTTCTAATTGGTTTTAATAAAGACCCCCAAGGCAAGTCTCAAACAATCCTTCCATTAAAGCACTTTCTAGCAGTACGCCAGGATGTCTAAGCATTGGGGTTCCACTGAAACATATAGGCGGACCTCATTTTATAGTGGGAGCATATTGCTTGCAAGGAAAAATAAATGCTGTTGAAAGTCACAGGAGTAATAACATGACAGGAAAATGGATTTGCAAAACCACCAGCTCTAAGTGGAAGGCTCACCCCTCTATCTTGAGAGCAGATAGCCCGTCATAAGCTATTGCGCCTTGAGCATAAAACCCTCTTGCTGTGCCTGCTTTTGTCTCCGTAAAAGAGA